TAGATATACTTAATCAGTACCTTAATGGTGATGGTAGTCCGATCTATATTAATACAACATAGAGCGTTATAATACCAGATCTTTAATTTCTTTTAAATGCCTGCTCTCTTTATCTATTATATTTAATTATATATTTATTTCTTTTATATTTTGTTTAATTTTAATATAAAATTCTTATTGGTTGATATTAAAACATATATTTTTTCTCAAGTTCATTTCATTATAACAAAAAAAAAACGATATCTTCTGCAGACTCTCCAGTATCAGATCTATAACATTTATTAGACATAAAGAGCTTTACTTAAAAATCACAGTGCTGCCGGAAATCCTTAAATTATATACTATTTTATTAAATAATACCTATTTGAACTATCTTAGTTAGCAATCCATTGTCGAAAAATATAAATTAAATTATGTATTATAATTATTATAATTATTAATATTAAAATAATATTTGAAATTATTCAATAAAATTTTTGGAACGCTCCTAAAACAAAAAACTTTTTGAAAAAATCGAAAAGGTTTAAACTTTTTTAAATAATTGAAATTCCAAGTTATCATGTGTAATAGAAGAAACGGATTTTGCAATAAAATATATTAAATAATAATAAATAAATTAAAGTGATCATACAATCTACATAAAAATACAACATTTTATTTAAAATATGATGTATACAATTTATTGTGTTCTACGCATGTTAAATGAGCGTCTAAAGTTTTTCGTTTTTGTAACAAATATAATTGATTTACATAGATAATATAAAATAAGTTTATAAATATTATATTATTATATTATTGAAAATAAAATCAACTTTTAAATGTCTAAAAAAAATTAATAAAATTTGTTTTCATTTTAATTAAAAAAATTAAGTGCAAAAATTAATTATATCTCTAGTCTTGATCTATAATTAATTTGATCACATTAGAATTTCAGCTATTGTAAATCAAATAAACCGGAAAGCTAAAATGGAAAGAGTAAGGAGGTGAGGTATAAAGAATTAGTGAAGAAAGATATAGGCGGGCATGTTATAAACATAGTTTGAGTCCAGTTTAGTTTTAATATTGGAATAGAACTATAAATAATTAGGTTTAAAGTATGTCTGGACCGCGCTTGGTGAGAGAACTGCTACCTCATTGCAGATAGACGTGTTGATGCGAGATAAGTAACTATTTAGCACATGCCTACATTTAGAATTTAAACTGCATCAAGACATTTCTGGTTTCTAGTGGAAAACGTCTTTTATCTCCGAGGATTATGCGCGAAAGCCTATTAAAAACGTTGTGATGCACTCATTTGCTTAAAACAGATACTGTCGCGGTATGAAGAGCAGAAAGCTTTTGCCGATATTTAATTCCAACGATATTAATTTACTATCTTGTCAATATATTCATAATACAAAGAAAGAGATCAACATAAGCTACATGGAATGAGTTGTCATACTATCTATGACACCATTTGGATGTCAATCTGTGTGGCACGAGAGAAGAAATAGTTTTTGGCATCAGCTGGTGATTAGATTGTAACAAACCCGAGTAAGTCCTATCATTTGAAATATAAATTTAATAGTATATTATCTCTAATGAGCTACGTCAAAATAGATATAAACCTGATTAATAGATGGTCTATTTTCAAATAAAGGAGGCTATTCGTTTATTTATAAAATCAAAATTTAAATCCGATAATTAGATAATCTATTCTCAAGCAAAGGAAACTATTAATTTACTCTCTAAGGCGCTAAGTACAAATTTGATTTTTAAATCCTTAATTTTCAGTTAAAAGAGTCTACTAGTTTCTTTGACAAGGAGTTAAGTTAAAATTTTAAACTTAGAGTGAGATAGTCTTCTTTTCAGATATAAAGGAATCTATTAGTTTCTTCACTAAAGGTTTAAGTAAAAATTTTCAGTCAGTCTATTCGCTAAGGAGCTAAGTTAAAATTTGAACCTGCTTGTTAGATAATCTTTTGTCAGATAAGGCATATTATATAGAGAGTCTTCACAATTGTCAATTTTTGTACTTTTACTATTATTTTTATCCAAACAAAAATATACATATCTGCGTTTAAAAGACATGAATTCTGCCATTTATTGCTGAGTAACATTCTTTTGAATAACGTGACGAGTCATAAACATCGACGTCGTGACCAAAGTTTATTCGAAATCTTGCGCATACTCACTCTCCTTCTCAAATCTTTAGTTTATACTAAAAACAACAACAGTTTTATATTAGACGTTATCATGGCTGCCTGTATTACATGGTCCTACTGAAAACTACATATGTCCTAAATATATTTAAAAAAAAATTGTGATAATAAATATATATATTTTAATAAAAAAATGCGCTTTCTCATCCTTTGGTAATAATTATTTACTTTCTATATAGGATATTGTTTAGATTTCAGTTCCCGTAAGAGAAAACCTATTAGACAGAGTATGAAAAGGTAATAATAAGGAATAATAATAAAAAATGTAGTGGATACGATGTTATGTCTGGTAAATGGTATTTGATGTGGGGAGTGTAAAAATCAAAATCAGATAGAGCAACAAAATAATTGGGATCAAATTCAAGCGTTTAGAAGGAAAATTGAGCAAATGGACGAGTTATGATGTACAGAATTATAATTAAGACACAGATTTGCAGTTTTATGGGTTTAATCGGTGTAAATAATACCGACATAATAAATGGGTATATGTTATATGAAGATAAAGAAGTAAAACAACTACAGCTGCATCCCAAGAAAACTATTTAATATATCATATCAAATCAAAAACCCCAATTTTTTAAACGTTAAACTTATAATTATCAATTAACATTGCTTTCATAACTAAACATGTAAGTAGGACTTAGACCAATAAATAATACATTTAAAAATTTTATTAACTATATATAAATTATTGAGCATCAGTATTTATGTGCCTTAATCTCAAGTTGTCTTAACCAATCCTAATACTATAAATACAAATGTTATTAAGAAAACTTTCAAATCATAAACTATTTTAGGAGGAAACAGATATTCTCCCATATATTTCAAGAAAAAGGGTATAGTTTCATAGTTTAACCGAAGTATCATATATATCACCAGTTCCTTTCTGCAATTTATTAATATTCAATTCAATTTAGATTAGTGAAATTCTATTAATTGTAAGTCTGTTTCCCTAAGGTCAATAAAGGTTCGTTTTAATATTGATATTGATTCCCTTAAACTTTATTATATTCAGTATCTTTATTATTTTATTTATTATTTAGAGTCTTTATTATTAGATTCTCTAGTAAATGAAGTCCTAAATTTTATTAACTGATCTTGCTATATAGTAACAGACATGCTTAACTTTCTCATGTTTTGAAAAAAACCAGGCTTTCTATATTTCAAAACATAGTAGTTCTAATCAGGTAGCTTGTCTACTAACTAAACAATATTCTATTAAAATTCGAGTATATATAAATATGTCTCTATTAACCTAATTTAAAATGTAACTTGGAATGCCTTCTCCAACTTTTCTGTAGTTTCCTTATCCGTAAGAATTTAAATGGTTGCATGCTGCCTTGGAAGCTAATCAACTTATCAATTTCGTTCTACAGTTCTACAGTTCTATAAGCTACAATTTAAATTCTGTAGATACTAAAGTGTTGATGCATGTCTTTATGAAATCTATTACATTAAGTGAAGCTTATTTATATTATAGTACCAAAATTAAGTCTTGCTAGACCAGTTGGGATATCTGAATATTTGTGGACTATTTTAGTCTACGTATTATTTATCCTTAGCTTTAAGATATCACATAAATTAATGGATAACTATAATTTTTATCGTGTATAAGTAGTTGTGAGGTTATAATGATATTAAATTTCTTATCATGGATATACTTCGCTCTACTAATATCACAAAAATAAAGAAGAAGAATATAAGTAACAGTCTTTAAAACAATTTAAGAAAAGCTATTATATCAATTTAGAAAAATAATTGAATATATGCGTCGGGTAAGATGGTATCACATACACTTTAATGGAAAGTTAGACGCATTAACTGTGAAGCATAATGTTAGATTCATAAAATCACAAAAAAGACGAATATAGGGCATGAATGAACGGAAAAAAAAATTACAAAGAGAATATTCAAAACTTTTCCACAAAAAGAATGTCTGCAAAAATTGTAAAGACAAAATAAAGAGGATATTCGGACTGTAAGGGTTAAGACCCAAAGAAATACAGTTTAAACTTGTAAAATATGGTGATGTTTAGTGATGGTAGTAAGATTAATTCCGAACTGATACTGTTATTATTAAAACAAAAGACATTAAACTTTTTTATTTACATGCAAAGAAGCAAACAAACTGGTGATATTTGAAAAAAAGGATTATGGGAAAAGTATTTGGACCAGTGCATGAAAACGGAGAATATCGCATAAAATATAATGATGAACTCGATCAATTGATGGAAGGTGATACAATAATCAACCACATAATAAAGCGACGCTTGAAGTGGGTAGGACAAGTCGTGCGGATGCCAGAAGATAGAGCAGCAGCCAGAATCTTTGAGAATGAAGTTAGAACAACGAGAAGAAAAGGAAGACTGAGAAAGAAATGGAATCACAGTGTTCTATAAGATTAAAGAGATATGTTGACAACATCAAATGAAAGATAAAAGCCAAAAATTGAGAAGACTTGTGAAATTCCGTAAAACAAGCTTAGGTCTTACATAGACTGTATAGCTATGGATGATGATTTACATACAAAACATTTAAAAGAATTTAGTGATCTTTTCATTATCGTTAGATAAAATTTGTATAATGGATAATTGAGAACATTTTATTCAATTTAACATGATCTAATTATTTATATGATTATCCTTTAATTTTATTATCATAATCTGAATTTCAGTATTTTAATGGTATCTGAAATCCATATAATCAGGTAATAAATTCATGACAAAAATATGCAAATGATCGCGTTAAAAACTTATAGCAACCCCCTGTATTTTAAGAAGAAAACGATCAAGTGCATAAAGAGTATGAAGTTGGAACCGTTACTGTCAAATCCGTTTTGCTTTGCTAAGCAAAATGTGTGATATTTGCAAAAAAATAAAGAGCAAAATATGGCTCCCCGATACTTATGTGGTAATATTCTTAATAAATAAAAAAATAATATACTAAAAATATTATTTCTTAAGGATTATGTGGGGCAAGCTTATGCTCGATGGGTGCTACGCTTCATAATGATTTTGTTCGCTTCGGTGGGTTTCGCTTGGGGTGCGATAATTGAGGATTTTTCACAAACGCTAATTATACTCGCGGCTGCATATTTATTTTCGGCATTGGTAATAATAAATTCTAAATATATGCTTTTGATATTATTATATTATTTTAACTTATCATTGAACAATTATAGATTATTATACCGCCGTGGCCAATGTATCGTCGTAATAGTTTGCAATGGCGAAAGCTGCGTAGTAAAGAGAAATCTGCTGTAGCGTCTTCTAAGAAACGTAAGAAAAAGAAACGTAGAAACAATGAATTGCACAATAAAAACAAAAAATTGTGAAAACAAACATTTTCAACTTCTCTAAATAAATAAATAAATTTTATTAAATTATATCGGTCTACGATATGACTTCAATTCATTGTGATCATAATATTTGTGTATTAAATCGTACATATTGGCAAAGAAAAATAATAAATTGTCATATTGTCCATTATAAGGATCTTCACGCGCCATGTCTTCCGAATGCGAGGATGCAACCATAGTTACCGTCTCATAAAACGCCTGTGCTATTTCTAGATTATTTAAACCCTCATAGGAAGGATTTAAGCCCCAAGCATTAACATGTACTTCAACCAAAAATTGATGAATAGCTTCAATTGTTGCTAAATACCAACGTGGACTGCCTCGTTGATGTCGCCAGAATTGTGAAAAACGGTTTTGTAGAATCACTGGCTTTAGACTTCGTACACGTTTATCTTTGTATATGCTACGACTTTGATTCCATGTACTGTCAATGAATACTGCACGCTTGATAGGTAACGTCGTAAAGGTGTACTTTTTTTCACCATTTTCTTGCTGGTTTTCCTCTACGATTTCTTCCAAGCGACGACGTAACATTGTACCAATATTATGACCTTTTGGCATACCATAATTATTTTCAGTATTTAGGCGTACATTCTTATTAAATAATTGTGCCACTGTAACACTTGTCACACCAGGAAATATGAGCACAACGTCATCATCTTTTGTGTAGTCTGGTATATCTGGATATGTAAAAATACGTACACGGTCGGACAACACTGCTGCATGGACTGCCGTACTCTTGCCATCAATTTCTTTCTTATGCTTTATTATATCAATATTAACTGGTATATCTACCTTGGGTAGGAGTGCACCCAAATTTCCAACTGGTATATAGCAATTATAACAAAAGAATTTGCGTGAACGATTGCATTCGGTGCAAATGAAACGACCTTCGATTGAGTTTAACACTGTATGATCCGCGATTTTCATGTCAACAAACGGATATTTCCGTTGCCGTGTTTTAGTTTCCACGGGGATAGACATTTTATGCGTTAACTAACATTTAAACAACTTGTTTAAACGAACAAGTTTATGCCTCCTATCAGCCGCAAATCAAATCAGTTTTCCTTCTTTTTACAATATGACTCTATTGTGAATGACAGCTGTCAAAGTTATTTTTGACTTTTGGAGCTCTACTTCGATTGCACACAAGTGGATTATAACATCATAATATGATATTTATTGTAAACTTTTAAGCTCTTTATAGCAATCTCTATTGTATATTTTGTACCAGAACCTGAAATGTTTGATTCTATGGATGCTCACACTTAATCAGAATTACACTCTCTTAAAACAAATGCAATTTATAATCCATTAGAAATATGTGCTGAGCTACAGACTATACTTTTGTAAAATCCCCTGAATAACTTTTTGTATTTCAATGAAAAACTTGTTACAGTGGATCAAATAAGTGATCGCAGATACTCGTGTTTCATCAAGGAAAGAATAAGAGACCAGACTTACATTCGATCGATATATTTTGAATCACTTGTTTTACTCTCTCGAGTAAAATTTGCTACTCCCGATTTTTTGATAAAGTAAAAATATTATTATATTATATATATAATAATATAATATAATATAATATTATAGTTTCAACTACATATATCATTTAATTGAAAATAAAGATTTTAAGGTTGATGTATTTGTGAAATGCTGGTCTTAATTCTATAGATATGTAAACCTAAACTATATGGTTCACAACGTTATAAAACAGTACAAGCTATTAACTATTAGGTGAATTGATAAAAAATAATTATTTATTTAAAATACAATATTACATTAATCATTTTCTTCTACTACCGTTTAGCATTATTTTTATTTACATTTAAATAGCAACTAAATTAACATAACTGCTGATGTGAGGTAAAAATTTAGTTAAACAATTACTTCCTAAAATTTAAGCAAATTTAATTTATTTATGTATAAGTTGTTTTTTATGCAGAACAAAACTTTTGGAACACAACATTTATTTTGCATTTCAGTTTTTATATTTTTGACGCTAACTACACTAAAGTAACCTGTTAAATGGTTATATTTATTTTTTCGCTTACTTTGAGTAAATGCTTAAAAATGTTATATTAACCATAATTTTAAATTTAAACATTAATTAAACAATTAATGTGATAAGTATTAAAAAAACAATATATAAATGTCAATAAACTGTTGTCCATATACATAATTATTAAAAAATTATATGTAAATCAAAATTGAATATTTTTCAATAATTGACAATTCACAATTGACGAATTTATAGTTTTGGCAGCGCCGCCCAATTAGTTTTAATAACGTTTTATAGATATTATATATAGATAGATTTTATTTTAATATTTTTCGTTGAACTATTGAATATTATTATTATTTTAAAACAAAACACGGTTCTATTTAATTATAAATTTTAAACATTTTATAACAAGTTCTTAAACAAAATTGTCAGACAGAAATGCTGTAAAAAATATATAGAATACTTGAGCCATGATATAAATTCTTTAGAACAGTCATATATTATTCGGAACTTTGAGAATATGAAATATTTTAAGGAAATATATTATTCGGATGGTTTTTCCGATTCAATAGCTTAACATATGATTAAAAATATATATTAAAAAAAACAAATTTGAGCAATAATCGTAATTATTTGACACAATGAAGTAACAGATAGCCAACTGAAAAACCGGTTATAAGCTTTGGTGTAATCAAGACTTCAGTTTAACGTTTAATATTATTTGCATTAGTTTAGCTCAAAGAATACTTTTGGACTAATTCCATAATTTGCTCAATACTTTTACTTAGATTAATGTAAATTATGCTCTCATTCTGTAAAGTAAATACGAACGATTTAATGGCTGTAATACTAATTTGTGTTATAATATAAACATAATAATTTTCTCAATTTAAAAATCAAATGTGATAAACAAATAACATGACAATCTATGCAAATAAATAACCAACTTTTTCTTCGTATTACTATTGTGAATGGTGAAAAATATATTGAATTGTCCAGTGATGTGTTTATACATAAAACGGTGAAAAAATTGTCGTGTATCCAAACAAAATTTTCATTCGAGGATTGAAAATTCGAAGTAAATTTTCAAATATTTTTTAAACATAAAGTATACCAAGATGTCAGAGAAAGGAGGTAACGGTGCTAAAAATAAAAAGCAAAGAAAGCATTCCGTTCCGAATAAGGGAACACCAAACACTGATGAACCGAAACCGGATGAGGTGCAAACGCCAGTAAAAGAGTTAACTGCAAGAGAAGCATATTTTGCTTGTCTGGAACAATGGGTGAAAAATGCCAATATATCACAAAATGCTATGGCCCTCTTTCCATGGTATCTTATGAATAATTATCCACAAGTCTTTCAAAACCAGCAGGCAGGTTTTGGTATGCCCACAACTGAAACAAATCAACCAAATGTTAATCCAAGTGCCAATATTAATACACCAAACAATGCACAGCCTACACCACCACCTGCTGCTGCTGCTGCTCCAGTGGTAAATAATCGACGCATGCGTTTTTTGGATGATCAGGCTCAAGCTGATTTAGTTTTTCGTCATGGTGGCTTTGAATATGTTATTGCACCATTTTGGAAACGTGTTGTTGCAGAATCAATTGATTTCTTATTACTCTTAATTGTGAAGATTATTTTATCTTTTACTGTTTTGAATATTTTTGATATGGACATCGGTTTCGATGTTGATAAGACTATGTTGAGTAAATCAATGGAAGACGATAATATGGGAGAATTTGTTAAGAAATTAATTGAGGCTTTCTTCTCATCATCGGATCTATTGCTTTTCGAAATTGTTACCAAAGCAATTGTTTGTTATTATGAGGCTGTTTGCACAACTTTTTGCAATGGCGCTACGCCGGGCAAAGCATTAATGGGCTTACGTGTACATTATGCTGAAGCGGTGGTTGTAATTAATCCACCGCTTGTACCACAAATGCCATTACAGTTGCAAATGCAACGTACTCCAACTAAAGCTCTTATATATCCAGCAACCGTTCCAACGTTCAAACGAGCATTGACACGTGCTGCCCTCAAGAATATTATCATAACAATGTTGTTCCCAGTTTGTATTTTTATGGTTTTCTTTAAGAACAATCGTACGGTCTATGATATGGTTTCTAAAACGGTCGTTGTCGAGACTACAGCAAACCCGCCGCAAAGAAATCAACCATAAGCGACAGAAATGTGGAAGGAGGGTATATATTGGTTCTTTTGTGATTATATATTTGTTTAAAATATTAATTTATACTAAACTTTTGTTATATAATATAATTGCTATTATATGTAGTCTATTTAAATCTTAACGTAAATAAAAACCAAAGTAGATATAATATAAAATATAAATTACACGTTTTAATTTATACGTTCTAGTAATGGGGTCGTAGTTCAACTAGGGGTTAGGTTAGGGTGGAGTGACAGTCTTGTGCCCAAAGTCTACTTTAGCTCAAAGAACGGTCCGTTATGATACCATATGGTCTGTTCATGTGTAGAGCAGAAGAATCTTCGAAACGACTGCAATAGTTAGCGAACGAGCAACGAGGAAAGGCACTAATCCAGTATTTAAGTAAAAATGAAAAGACTTGACAAGTCTATAAACTTGGCCAAGCCGCTGTTGTTGTAACCCGCAGGAATCTGTAAGGCAAAAGACATGAAAGGAACTACAAGACGAATGTTGTATGTTATACTGATGGGTATTGATTGTACGGGTGGGGATAATTTGAGAATTAGAATGGACTGCGGGGTGGGTGGTATTTGAAATGAAGTCAATCAGCATCAAAACGTTAAAACCTATGCCAAGTCTCTTGTTTTAAAGGACGGGGGCTTTGTCAGGTGAGTAAGAAAATAGTCCTACACATTTGCAGAGTCATAATGCTCACAAAACTCAGCATAAGTAGATTCAATCCTATAGCATTTTTTCCACCGCGCAATGACCTGTCAGTATCTATATCAAAATGCTGAAAAGGTTACGGCTTAGTTGAAGCAGCTGGTACTAAAACTTGAGATCTGAGGAGTATTCATCTATCCGAATTTATTTAACTATGCGCAGATGATGTTAACCATTAACTAACCTAATTTATATGTAGTTCTGGTGCACGAAATATCTTATTTCATTTGACAGAAACGAATATATCTGGAAAGCAGTTGTCTCTCATATATTGCAAAAATAAATTCATTTAAAGTGTCTAGTGTTGTACTTCAATTAAATTTTGTTTATAATCAAATAAATATTTTCCTAGGGCCATGTTATGCAGAGTGTCTCGGGCACGGCATGAGTACAATTGTTGTTGTTTTCAATGCAAATTTTAAATTTGAGAATGAGAGAAAAAACAATATGGCCGTTCAAACTCCGGCATGAGAGCCGGCGTATTTGTGCCCCGGCACTAAGGCAAAACAGTGTTGTTTAGTAATAAATTTCAAAATTTGCGCCTTTTAGGAGCAAACTACTACAATTCTAGTACGTTTTGGAGAAAAAATGGCAGTAAGCAACACCGCATTTTTTTTATAAATCGCTAATAAAATAATTATTACACTTTCCGATTTTAAAGAAACGCGTAAATACTGTTAACAATTATTATAAGATAATATAATAATAAATTAACATTATTACAGCCTCTATGAGTCTTTTCATGCGAGTTATTTTTGGTGGCAAATTGAAAGTGAGCATATCTAAATTTCCTTTTAAATTTAGGCACAACCAAGAAGTAGTAAAAATACAAAATTGGCAATACTGATGTGACGCTCTGCATAACATGCATTTTCGGCATAGCCCGAAAGAGCGTAATTTGCCGTGCCCGAGACACTCTGCATAACATGGCCCTAACATGCATTTTCGGCATAGCCCGAAAGAGCGTAATTTGCCGTGCCCGAGACACTCTGCATAACATGACACTTGTGTTATGCTAATACTAAATTTTAAATCTGGTAGCACCACAGTTATTAAAATCAGAATTTTTTCAACTCTTAGTGTTGGCAGTAATGCCTATTGTGTTTAACTGCTTCCGAATAAATATAGTAAACCAATTTGATATACGTAATTAAAAAAAATTTATATATGTTATACATAATAATATCCAGGATCATGATATGCTATAGTTATTCTGATATTGTAATTGTAATTATATTTTATTCATCATAAAAGTTTGTCATGTATACTGGTTGAAAATAATTAACAAAAAATTGTTTTTTTATTTTTTGGTAGAAAGCGTAGTGAAATTAAATATCATAACTATGAACCATAAAAAATAAACCTACCGATTCACAAATATAGAAATTAATCGATGGATATCGATAAGTAAAAAAATGTTAGAATTCGTAATAAAATATTTGGGATGTTAGTGGATAGAAACATTTAATAAGTGGCATTTGCTCTTGATTTAGCGAATATATATAATATTAATATTAATAAAAATATTTTAACATATGTAATAAGTTAGAATAGCTTCGTAATTTTCATTATTCATATTATTAATAACGAATTATTTCAACTTGACATATAAGAAAAAAAAATAGAATTGTTTCTTAAATATGTCTTGATTATCATGTGAACTTCTTTAAAGCAAATAGAAAAATTTTACAAAATACAAAAATATTAATTTTACCGTCACATAAAATATTCAATAAAAATATTCTTTATAATTCCTAATAAATGCAAAACCAATATTTTTAGTTAAAATATTTTTTACTTTGAGTGAACATCAAATTTTGGATCAAAGAAAATCATATCTTCATATAAAATTTTGAATAGGTAAAATTTTCTGTATAATTGAAAATAGAATATTTTTAGTTAAAATTTTTTTTACATTGAGTTAACAACATTTTCCGTCTCATCAAAATTTTTCGTGTGAAATTGTTTTGACTTGATACAATTTGTATATAAAAAAAATGAGCATGGGCAATAGTTATTTAAATTTCGTCGAGGATTATAGGACTCATTACCCGGACCTACCACCTTTGGAGGTGGCAAGAGCAGCGCGAACAGCATGGGATAGTTTAGCATCTAAAGAAAAACTTCTGTACCATACGGAAAGCATTGCGAGTCTCCAAGAGGACATAGCTATGGAATGTGGTACATGTGGAAAGAAAAAGAAGAAAAAAGGTTGTCCAAAGAAGAAGAAAAAGAGTTGTCCCAAGAAGAAGCGTAATCCGTGTGCTAAAAAGAAGCCTAAATGTAAGAAAAAGCCCAATCCGTGCAAGAAGAAGAAAAAGCGTCGTCAAATTTGTTGTTAATTTAAATGATTTTGAAACTGATTGGAAAAGAAATGTGAGTATGAT